CTTTTCTTCTNTCTTCTTCTTCTTTTTCGCAACCAAGTCCATCACCGAACCAGATCACGCGAGTCGAAGTATATATGAAACCCCCCCCCCCCCCCCGGAAACGAACAAAGAATAAGGGAAAGAATTCATGGAGTCATGGAGTCATGGAGGAGGAGGGGAGGATAAAATCTACAATATTGCAAACGCCATATATGCCACAAGTTACGCGCTCGAGTATAGAAAAAAACCCCATAAAGAGAGAGAGAGAGCTAGAGAGAGAGAGAGAGAAAGAGGGAGACGAGTAAAGTAAAGTAAAGTAAAATCAAAAGAAAAGAAAAGAAAAGTAAAGTAAAGAAATCAAGAAATTGAAAAAAAAAACAATGAGAAAAGGAGAAAAAAAAAGAAGAAGAATAGAAACACCCCCGCCCCCCCCTCCCCGCGATGTATGAATGAAATGTTGAATCTGTTTTTTTGTTTGTTTGCTTGTCTCTCTGAAATCAAATATGGGATTCACATCTCTTTCTTTTCTCTTTGCTGTCTATCTCTCGTTACTGTCTCTTGTTACCGTTACCGTTACCGTTACTGTCGCTGTTGTTGTTGTTGTTGTTGTTGTTGTTGTTGTTGTTGTTGTTATTCTTTGTGTATAAAGTAAGCAGGTCCCTACCTACTTTACCTCACGGCCGATCTATCTATCCATCTGGCTTCTGATGCCCAGGATGCCCCTCTGACTCTCCCCCGCCCCCTCGCCTCAAGTCCCGCAAACATACGTATATCCCTCAAGTGCGTTACGTAAAGTGATTTAATTCAACTTCCTTGCCATTGTGACGAGTTCATCTCGAGTTGGATCAAGAAAGACACAGACACAGACACAGACACAAACTAAACCAACCCCCCCCCCTCACACACACCCCAACAGAGAACCCCCTCCTTCCAAGCAACTTAAACATCCCGAACTCTCTGCCTGGGAATCTCCGTCTCGACCATTTCCAGGCCGCTCAGACTAGGGTACCGCTTACTAAACGTGTCGACGTCAAAGTCCTCTGCAGGGTTCGCTTGAGGAGGCATAGACTGGTTATCTCTGGTAAAGGATGATTTTACAGGAGAAGAGCCTTGCGGGGGAGGGGTAGGAGAAGGAGTGCCTGTTTGGAGGGCTTTTGGCTTTGGGGCGCGGGGAGGCGGACCAGAGGGGTTGCGCATGTTGGCGATTGCGGGTGGGGCAGAGGCCGAGGGGACTGGGGGCGGCATGTTGGGGCGGATGGATGACGAAGATGGCTTGGTGTAGGCCATGTCTTGTTGCGGTTGAGAGGGAACGTTTACTGGTTTGCGTGCAATCAGGGGAGGCTGTGTGCGTGCAGCGCTGGCGCTCTGGTCTTGGGGTCGCATGGGCAACGGCTTGCTTGTGTCGGTGTATTTGCCGTAGCCTTCGGCTGTGCGACTGGTAGAGGCGGGCTTGCTACTCTCGTCGAGCAGGTTCTTAACACGGCTTTGGATGCTCGAGGCCTTGGAAGGACCGGGCTTTGCCTTTCCTTGGGATGCCATCCGTTGCTTGTACTCTGCGGCTGCGGCTTCTACGCGGCGCTCTTCTTCTGCTAGCTGCCTCTTTTCCAGCTCTCTTCGCACTTCTGGCGATAAATCTTGCGTTTCGTCAATGGCGCTGCGGTCGTCATCACCGAGTCCGCCTGTGGCCTCCGAGCCAGCGATAGGCGTCAATCCGCCTTTGGAGTCCATGTGCTGGTCTACTGGTGTCAGGGGCGGTGGGTCACGCTCATGTTCAGGTGTCTTTCCGGTCGTCTCGAATCGTCGGAAGGCGTCGCCAAATTTACCCTTGACGATGTTGGTCAAGCTCCCGCGTTTACTGTGCTTGGAGTGTGAGCTACTGCGGCGATGCCTGTGACCATGATCATCCTGCTCAATGCTTCGGAGAAAGTCTACGCTTGATCGAACGTTTCTCTCTTCCGGCTCATGATCATCGACCGCAGTTGACGTGGTCCGGCGTGTCAATGATGGCGCATCAAAGCTGCGACCAGGCGTCATCTCTCGGTCGCGCAGATAGTCGAGGCTCGACTCAACGTGCATGCTGACTGGGCGCGAGTTTGAGTTTGCGGATCTGGACCGGTCTATCGCAGAGCCGATTTCCATGGTCGATGGACGTTGGCTCTCCAATGAGGGTCTTGCAGAAGCGGGTGATCTAGGGATGCTGAGTTGGGATTTTGATCTGAACTCCAGCGAGGGTCGCGTAGGCAAAGCATGTTCAGGCTTCAATGGTGAGCTTGAAAGAGGGCTTCCCGGTGCTTTCTCAAACGAACGGGGTTGGCTCAAGGCTCGATTGTGGTGCGTGCCCAGGGGAACTTTCCAGATTGGGCGGCTGCTGACTTCTGGGTATTTTTGTTGTGCTGGGACAGGAGATGCTCGTGGTGATGTTTGCACACCAGTAGACACCATGTTAACCCTCTGGGGAACCGGTTGCTGTATGGCCGGGTTGGACGACTGTGGCTTATCATTGGCCTCGTGGGGCGCGGTTTTTCTTATCGACGTACTCCTTGAAAGGCCCGACGATGCTACAGACGACGGCTTCACCCCAGGTGCCGAGTCAACCTTTGTCAGTGGAGCAGATGCAAAAGCTTCATCTGCCAGTGCTTCTGTGACGCGCTTGCTGAGGGTTGGGTCGGAGGTTGTAGGTGCTTCGCCAAACTCAAACTTCTGACCTCTGTCGTGCAATAGAGAAAACTCGTCCAGGGATGGAAAGCGAGAGGCAAGCTCATCAGCAGCGGCACGTCTCACTTGGACATCTTGAGAGTCGAGTGCCGCAAAGGGATCGGAGCTGGTTCCTCGCATAGGCGACGGACTAGGCCTCGCTGCCGCCGAAGGCGGCTGAGACGGCCCGGTCGGTCTTCCCCTCCTCATTGGGGTAATGTCGGGCAGTTGCTGGACCTGCACAGTGGGGGCCACTCTTTGTAGCCCCACCACAGGTGGTGGTGGTGAAGAGACCTGAGGCTCAGAGGGAGGTAGCTGCTGGTTTTGTCGAGTTTCCGATGGTGTCCTGCCAGAGTAGATCTGACGTCTCTTAGCAGTGGACAGTCGAACCAGTTTTTGATACATACATTTTTGATGGGGATGGGTCGGTGGCGCATCGAGCAGACTTCGGCAACCACCTGGTAGATGTTTGGTCGGTGCTGGGGGTTCTCGCGCAGCATTGAGCCTGTTGGGAGTTAGCTATGCCAGCAGGCTGCCCGAGTTGCACACACCTATGAGCGCTTTGATCCTGTCGGAAAACTGAGGATATGCAGGGTACTTGAACGAGGCATTCAAGATGGCCATCTGCCCCACTTCTTCAAAGGGGGTTGTGTAGTAGCACAGCTTGTACAGCAGCACGCCCAGGGCCCAGATGTCGCTCTTTTCGTCTATGGGCTGCTTGCGGTATACGTCAATCATCTCCGGGCTGCGGTACTGGAGCGTAGTATGGCGCTGGACGTCTTCCTCGATCAGCCTTCCCTCGGCAGCCGTGGTAGCGGCGGGGCGGGGCGGGGCGGTGGAGCCAAAGTCGCAGAGCTTGTATATCTTGTTGCCGTTGGCGGTGGTGATGAGGACGTTTTCGACCTTGAGGTCGCGGTGCAGGAGCGGGGGCTTGAGGTAGTGCATGGTCGCAACGCCCTCGACGACGTCGGAGAAGATGTGCAGAATCTCGGGCTCCGTCAGGCGGTGCTGCAGCCTGGTGTTCATAAAGTCAATGAGGCCGCCGCCCGAGCAAAACTCCATGAGCAGGAAGACCTCGTAGCCGCCCGACTTGAGCTGGGAGGCGTGCGAGTCCATGTAGGTGACAATCTTGCTGTGGCCCTTGAGCTTCTTCATCGTCTCCACCTCGGTGCGCATGTTTGCCAGAGCGTCCTTGTCGGCACAGGCGACCCGCTTGAGCACCGCCGTCTCGGGCGTGTTGGAGTCGGACTTGGGGACGCGGACCAGGTAGACGTGCGCGAAGCCGCCCTCGGACAGGTACTTTTCGATTGTGACGCGGTGGTTGCCCACCTGGACTTTGGTGCCCGGCGCAAAGGTGCCTGGCGGGGCATTGGAGACGGCAATAGGCCCTGGGGCGCGGTAGGCCGCCTGTTGGGCCATGGGCATGGCTTGCGAGGGAGCATAGCGAGCCGACGACATGATGGGCGGTGAGGGAGCCTGCAGCGGAGCAGCGAGACGCGGGGCCTATATCTTGCGCATCGAGAGGACGCAGGGCTGGGATGGGCGGCGCTGGGGGGGTTTGTCGGGCGGGCCGAGGGGCAGCAGAGCTGTGGTGTTGAGTGAAGGTGGCATAGCCGGAGGTGCTGGTCATGGCAGGGTCGTGAACGGACCCCTGCAGCCTTGGGACCGCATGGGCGAGGGCCAGCGCCTGGCAACGTCACAGTCTGCTTTTGGGCCGCCAACACCTCGTCGTCCACCACCACCACCAGCACCGCCGCCGCCGCCGCCGTCCGTCACGCCGCCGCACACAGCCCTTGTGAACCCCTCAGGCGGGAACCTGCGCTCGCCAGCCCGCGCCAAAAGCAACCATGCGCGAGCTTATCGGCCGCCAAGCTGTAACTCTGTCGCCGGCAAGGTACGCTGGCCTGGTTTCACCCCATGCCCTGTCATTGGGCCGCCGCCGGGTCAGGGGACACTACACCATGTTTGGCACCAGATCATGGCGATGCCGTGTGTCATGTATGTGTGTTAGTATGAACAGGTGCATGCAATGGTTGCCAGGGCCGGTGCCAGCGTGTTCTCTCATCAGCCGTGGTGGGCCACCCTCAGACACGTCGACGGCTCCACGACGGCACACACACGCCCACGACGCCAGAGAGCCGCCCAGGCAACCGTCGAAGCCGGGCGTGCGCTGGACGCATACGGACGCTTCCTGGGCTTGGCACGTCAGTGTCATTTGCACGTTGCTTTTGTTGCCGTCGAACAGGTGACGAGACGGCGTTGCTGCGCTTCTTCCACACTAGGCGTACAAGGCCCGAGTAGGTAAGCCGGTCTTGGCGCGCGTGCGTCTACGACGTCTTTGCCTGTGCATGCGAAGACATGCACTCTTCATACCGGAGTCCGATTGAGAAAACGAGCAGCGGGTGCTATTACATCTGGCGGCTCGAACTGATGGGTGCTTTGTATGTCAAGATTCGGCGCCGTAGCCATCATCTCTCCGCCCGCCCAGGGAGCCCGTTCTGGTCCATCTTGTCTGGTAAAGGCGGTGTAAAGCTGATGTCTTTGCTGCCGTCCTTGTCTGGTCGAGCGTATCTGGTAGTGAATCTCCAGTTTACTGGTTGACTTGCATGGCTGCCAGACATTCTCAACTCACCAAAACAGGTTCTTGTGCATTCTTTTGTCAACTTGGACGCCATCCATCACGGAGTAATTACAGGAAAGCGAACAAGTATTATATCAGCATTGGAAGCAGCATTGGAAGCAGCTTCACCGTCAACGAAATTGTCCCAGAAAACTCCAACGGATAAGTTGCCCCAACTGTACATGCAGATCGTCACTGCTCTGTGCACGTGCTCGAAAAACCTCTTCAGTCATAGCCCCGATCATCGTACCTGAATCACATCGATGAGCATCTTTTTTTTTTCTTTCATTCAGGAGAAGTCTTGCTACAGAATCATGCGGCACTCCCTGTATCTCGGCTTTCCAGTAGCCATCGGCTCAATGTGCAGCTCCACGACTCGGAAAACACCACGCTGACTGGTCATGGACAAGGCTCTCTCGGATCATTCCGATCCCTTTTATCATGGTCATGTAGTAGGAGTACTCGCGCCACGCACCGATCGGAGGTTGGCGCTGGATAGTTCCATGCGAATGACGGGCTCAACGCAAACTGTTGTAGCAGAGTAATGGTGTAGAAATGTATCAGGAGTCATAGTACGTACTGCAATATTGGCACCTACAAAATATAGTATTGTAGAGCGAAAGAATCTACTACAAATATCCACAATTTGCTATGCAAAACTTACTGCGTAGTAATAGTTCATCTCTGCGTGGTAGTAGTAGTAGTACATGTTTCAACAACACTGCATTACCCACGTCAATTCCACATACAAAGCCCCTCTATCAATCTACCAAACCAGTGTTGTTATTTTTTTTCTTTCATCTTGTTGCGCTGCTGCGCCGTGTCCTTTTGCGTTGGGCTATCCAGCACCAACCTCCTGTTAGCGCGCGCATGGCGCAACTATGTAATATGTAAGAAAAAAGAAGAGGAAAAAAAATAGAGCGAAGGAAAAATAAAGGAAAAGAAAATGCGTATTGCCCGGCGACTAAGCCGCTTATAGGGGGAGTTTGCAGTAGGAAGAAGCTAGGTACGCATGCTGTACCCAGCGAACGTTTTATAGGTGATTTATGTAATATTAATATCATACACTTCCCCACATCTTGCATACGGAATACACACGTTCAAGCACAGTGCCACGAACCGATTTCCCATGCATACCAAACTACTCTGGGCGGATATCTGCAGACTACAGCATACGTGTGTGTGCGTGTATGTGCACCATACCCAGGAGGTGGTCTACATGCTCAGTGCAACACTCCCCCAATTTTTTTCCCCCGTCAAAAGTCGATATTTACGAGGGGGAAGAAGGAGGAGCACAAAGTAGAGCCGCACATAGAGAACTTGTCAAGTAGCTCCGGGCTAATTGTAAGGGCCTAGCTCAGGGACGAATCCGGTGCACCGTCAGCTTACGTGTCCGGGGGGGTCATTAGGGAATACGAGCTGGCGAACAAGAAAAAAAGCTGTTATTAGGTATCTTATCATTTGCCTGCCTTTTCATTATTGCTCTTATCTTTTTTTTCCTTCTTCTTTTAGTAGTGACGCGTGGCTGTTGGGGACTTGTTGTACGTAGTTGGACGGTTATCTGGTCTAGAAGCTATGTGAGATTGCGACGTAAGGGGGGGGGCGTATACCGATAAAAAAAATGAGCATGGGAGGTATAAGCAGGGGCTGTTCTAGTCATGTATAGGCAGCAGTTTTAATGGTTGTTTATGATCGGGCGGTCAAAGCATGACTTTCCATATTGAGTAGACACTACTACTAGAGCCCACTTTTATGATGGGTCCATTTCCAATTGACTGGGCTTTTTTGCACCTGAGAAACGGGTCATCTAGTCCGTGTATAGGTGATAGGATGGAGACGGATAGATCCGTGCGGTGAGAAGTGGGAAAAGGGTCTTTGCGTAGATGGAGAGAAGGCGGTATATAAGGAAGGCCAAGTGCAACTGTATGTAGTATCATCACGAACAGACCGATCCACGACTCTCCTACCTTGACGCCTTACTTACGACTCTTTTTCCCCTGAAACTTCAGACCAACAACATCAAAATGCAGTACTCTACCTTTATCCTCACCACCCTGGCCTTGTTTGGCGCTGCCGTGCACGGAACTGCTTCTCCCGACCCTCTGCCTGTCGGCATTCTGGATCCCCGTGACACGATTGGAGGCTGCTGCTGCAATCACTTCCAGAGCAGCACCTGTGTACGTAGCTGCTAATATGTCTTTCTCTGGTGATTTGACTAACTGAAAATGCAGGCTTGTTACTACGGCGCGGCTGCTGTAAGTTTGAATTCGACTGTAAGAGAGGCAGTGAGGAGTGTCAGACTAACCCGTGATTTTCCAACAGGGCTCGGGAAGCTGCGGCAGCACGTGTGCAGGAATCTGCTAGAGTATGGAAGTGGTGGATGTTGGAGAGATGGAGACAGGGGGTGGTATGACTGTAGGCTAGCAACCGCGTCTTGCGGATACTCTGATAGAGATTGTACAATCTACGCTGTTATGAAAGAGAGAGGCCGTATTCGTGCCAGTGAGCAGATTGGTGTTGGAGTCGTGGTGGAGTCATGGTGGCCGGCCTCTCACGTGACGGCCACGACAGCATGTAGGCGCGTTTCCAGAGCAAAAGCAAGCAGGCGTGCATGGCGGCGCTAAACATAACACGCTCGTGGGCGGGCGTGTGGACAGAAGCAAGAGCAGTGGCTGGGCTAGTGTCAGTGTGGTGGTCGAGGAAGCGGTTGGGTGTGGGGGGATGAAGTCTTTCCCCCATGACGGGCTGCTGCAGGGCCGCCGTCGGGGTTGCAGGCGGCCGCGATGCCGACGGCTTGGCGCGCACCCACGGCCAGCCTGTCGTCACCATACCCAACCGATGCCTTCACTGTCTACGTATTTCCTGCCTACCCGCACACACACGCGCCTTTTCGGGGCCCTTTGTTTCCCCTTGCGCCAGCCTGCACCCAGCCTGCACCCAGCCTGTGCCTGCGTCTCTGGTGTATATAGCAGACGCTGGCCGAGCCCTCGATTGCTTCACTCTCAGCCCCTGCCTGTTCTGCCCGCCTGCCTTGCTGCCAGCCTTGCCCGCCTGCTGTCCTGCCTTGGTTGCTGCCAGCCCAACCGCCGCATCCGTCGACGTCTGTCCACGCCCTTCGCGCCGCTTACAGGGAGGGTCCCTCCACACACTCTCTCACACGCACGCACGCACGCACACAGCCAGCCAGCCATACATACTCCACTACCATACACCCCCTCACCTCCCCTCCCTCTCTCCCCTCCTCAGCCCAGACCGCAACCGCAACCGCAACCACCACACCCACCACACCCACCGCCGCCTCACTCGGCCTGACTGTCCACGCCCCCCGCACGCACGCACGCACGCACTCCCTCCCTCCCCACCATGGTCATGGCCCAACACGCAAACATGGCCCGCGTCAGACAGCCCAGGCGACGAGAGAGAGATGCCAGCGCCGAGCGCTCCGACTCATCGGCCTCGACGTCGCCCGAGCGCGGCTTCGACGACGAGGACAAGGACTCGGTCATGCTGCAGTCCAACGACTCGCTCTCGTCGCTCGCGCCCTCGCTCTCGCCAGACTCGGACGACGAGGCCCGCCGCCGCGCCATCGAGGAGCAGAACCGCATCTCGCCCATCTCGCGCCTGCCCGCCGAGCTCATGATCGCCGTCTTTGCCAAACTCTCGTCGCCCACGGACCTCAAGAACTGCATGCTCGTCTCCAAGACGTGGGCCGGCAACAGCGTCGGCCTGCTATGGCACCGCCCCTCGACCAACAAGTGGTCCAATGTCAAGAGCGTCATCCGCACCATCCAGACCTACAACAGCTTCTTCGACTACAGCAGCCTCATCAAGCGCCTCAATCTGTCCGCCCTGGGCCACGAAGTCAGCGACGGCACCCTCAAGCCCCTCTCGAGCTGCAAGCGCGTCGAGCGCCTGACGCTGACCAACTGCACCAAGCTCACGGACCTGAGTCTGGAGGCCATGCTCGAGGACAACCGATACATCCTGGCCCTCGATGTTACCAACGTCGAGTCCATCACCGACCGAACCATGCTCACCCTCGCCCAGCACGCCGTCCGCCTGCAGGGCCTCAACATCACAAACTGCAAGAAGATCACCGATGACTCGCTCGAGGAGGTTGCCAAGAGCTGCAGACACCTGAAGCGTCTCAAGCTCAACGGCTGTTCGCAGCTTAGCGACAGGAGTATCATTGCCTTTGCCCGGAACTGCCGCTACATGCTCGAAATTGACCTCCACGACTGCAAGAATCTCGACGATGCCTCGATTACGACGCTGATTACCGAAGGTCCCAACCTGCGCGAACTGCGCTTGGCGCACTGCTGGAAAATCACCGACCAGGCTTTTCTGCGCCTTCCCGCAGAGGCTACCTATGACTGCCTGCGCATCCTCGATCTCACCGACTGCGGCGAACTGCAGGACAGCGGTGTCCAGAAAATCGTCCAGGCCGCTCCTCGACTCCGCAACCTGGTCCTCGCCAAGTGTCGCAACATCACAGACAGAGCTGTCATGGCCATCACGCGCCTTGGCAAGAACCTTCACTACATACACCTCGGACACTGTTCGCGCATCACCGACGTTGGCGTTGCACAACTGGTCAAGCTTTGCAACCGCATTCGCTACATTGACTTGGCGTGCTGCACGGCTCTTACAGACGCCTCGGTCATGCAGCTGGCAGCACTGCCCAAACTCAAGCGCATCGGTCTGGTCAAATGCGCAGCCATTACAGACCGTAGTATACTCGCGCTTGCCAAGCCAAAACAAATTGGTTCAACAGGTCCCATTGCACCTAGTGTGCTTGAGAGGGTGCATCTCAGCTACTGTACTAACCTCTCCTTGGGTGTAAGTTTATTTCGTCATTATGTAATGTGCTTTTTGCTAACGAGATCAGGGCATCCACGCTCTTTTGAACAACTGCCCCCGCCTGACCCATCTTTCTCTGACCGGCATCCAAGCCTTCCTGCGTGAAGACCTCCTCGCCTTTTGCCGGGAAGCGCCGGCAGAGTTCAACGACCACCAGCGCGAAGTTTTCTGTGTCTTCAGCGGCAATGGGGTCAAGCGTCTCCGTGTCTTCATGAACACCAACGGCGGGGAAGATGTAGACCGCGACGGGCATGGCTTTGGCGTTGACGATGGCACCATGTTCCGCGACGACGAAGACGGTGACAACATGGTGGTGGTGACTGCACAGGCAAACATTATGGCTATTGACGAAGAAGACGAGTTTGGAAACGACAGCGAAATGGCAGGACAGGACTAGAGCCCCCCCATGGCCCTTTCTTTCTTGTTCATGCCTCACGAGCATATATCAGGAGTTTTGGGTTGTCGAATTACGTCTTGTGGCATTGTTAGCGCATCATACGATACTGTTCATTGTTTTTGTTTTGTTTTGTTTTTGTTTTCATCATAGCACGGCGGGAATGCACATGACTGGGCCCCCTGCGGACGGGGTCCCCCCGCGTTGTGGAAACGACTATACCCTCTATGTTTTAATTTTCCTTTTTCAATGGAGAGGGAGGAGAGGGAATGAGATGGGGACAAGGAGAAGGAGAAGAGAAAAGAAGAGAAACGGTGTACCTAGGAAATAACACAGCTTCTGCACCAACAGTGGTAGCAGCAGTAGCAGCAGCAGCAGCAGTAGATTCATGCATGGACCATGGATAAAACGACTTGAACGTCTTTCTTTTTGTTTTATTCTGTTTTGTTCTGGGAAACGACCAATTCTGATATAGATTACATGCATGCATACATACATACATACTACAAAACCCTTGCTTTGCGTTCCCTTTGCTTTCTGTGATCCCCCTTCTTTCTCTCTCTACATCATGACTTCACCTCATGACCTCACCTCAACAGCCCACACATGCACCCGCAATCCGGCACCGGACACATGGCGTGTTTAGCAAACCAATCGCGCGCATGGTGTCCGTGAAAGCCATGCGTACAGCTCATACAAAACACCATGAGGCGGGCCTCTCGGTCCTCGCCCTTGAGCGTCTCGTAGCCGCCTTGGCGCGCGGGATCCGGGGTGCCCAGCCACAACATGCATAGCGCGCATCGCGGCATTTGCGCCGCGCAGTTGGGACAATGGAGGCCTGGAGTCGAGGATGCTGATGGCTTGCTTGGCTGGGGAGGCCCGGGCGGTTTGGCGAATGAAGATGGTGTCGCGCGGTGTGTGGTAGATGGTACTGGGGCACCTGGTCCTCCTCCTCCTCCTGGTGGTGGAGGTCCCGTAGCGGCGGCGGCGGCTGCAGCAGCGGCAGCAGCAGCAACAGAGGCAGACGAGGCTTTTGCCATGGTAGGCAAGAGTCTTGATTTAGCCGTGCGAGCATCTTTTCTCAGGGCGAGATTCTGCTGGCAGTTGAGGCAGCGGATGGTGAGGCTGGGCTGCTGGGGCTTATTTACGCTGCGGCCCTCGCGCGTGACCGAAAGCTGGTTGTGTTCCTTGATGTAGCGGGTGCGCTCGAGGAATGCGCGGTACGTTTGTAGGTGCTCGAGGTACGTGTCTTTCCAGAGGGTCCAGCGCGCGTCCTGGATGTACAGCGGGCATGCGCGGCTGAGGAGGAGCACGGCGTTTTGCAGGCCGGCGCTCGGGTGCTGCGAGATGTGCACTGTGAGGAGCTCGAGGGAGCGTGTGGTGAGTCCCGTAAGGAGCAGCCCAGAGATGTCGCCTGTGTCCATGGCGATGCTGGTTGCTTCGCTGAGGAACGTCGAGAGCTTGGTGTCCGGCAGGTATTTGAGGGCTACGGCTACGCGGTCGTGAAGCGAGATTTGCGGCATGCGGACTACGCTTGTCCAGTCGCCTGTGATAAAGTACGTAAGGAGGGACTTGAGGTATGGATCTGAAGTCATGTCTGCCATCCACGCACATGCTTCGCGCTGGTCGGCTGAGACGCCCGAGGAAGGCGAGGCACAGGCAATGACGGCCGCGAGACTGATATCGTCTTTTGGGAGTTTCTTCGATGTAAGTGAGGTGCGGAGCAGACTCAAGGCAATGTCTTTGTGGCCTTGGAACACAGCTAGCACAATGGCCTTGTAGATTTCGCCGTTGGAAACGAGGTCGTTACACGTTTTCTCGACGCCAGATTCCTCCAGTGACCAGCCGCAGAGGCTCAGACACAGCTGCCGGTTCTCGGGATACTCGGTGGATACGCCTTTGAAAGGGGGCAGTTCCATGGCTTCGGCGATTTCCTTGACCGCATCACGGAACATTTCTTGGCTTGTTTTTGCGTCTGGATCAATCAGTCGCTCGTCGTACATTGTTAGTTCGTTTGCCCAGATCGAGCTTACACCCAGGTACTTTAGGTCAAGCCCGTTGCCTACCATGCCATCTCCAGAAGCGTGAGCGTCCATCCTGTCCACTAGTGCCCACGCATCCACCAGCGTTCGGTCGTTGGCTACGATTGTTTTATTTTTAGCACAGTTGAGTGAATAGCCCTCTTGCACGCGCCTTTTGGGTACCTGTAGTACGGCGAGATAATCTGAAAGCGGAAGGTTGGAGTAGGCGAGTTTGAGGTCTTCGAGCATCTGGTGAGATGCATCTTCACCCAGAGCCGCGGAAGGGCCTGGTTGACTAGCGGTTAGGCTCAGTCTGTCCAGGCTGGCTGACATGTCTATGCCATTTTCAGACTCAGTTCTGTGTTTTTCGCTCAGTGCCCGGTTTTGTAATCTGGTCAAGTCCTCGGCCACTGTGCCATGTGGTGGAGTTGGCTTAGCAATGCAAGTGCGGTCTTTGTAGATCTCTTCTAAAGCGCTGACATTGATGCGTGGAGGCGACCGTGGTACTTTGAGCACTTCGACCTCGCGGTTTGAATGGAGACCCAGTGCACACTGCCCTTCGAGCGGGCTACCAGCACTCATAAAATCGTATGCTACTATGCGTTGTTTGTTACTTTGGCGATGCTCCTTATCATGCGCTGGATACCGCAAGGTATGCATTGCTTTCGTGTAGTAAGGAGACGCCCATGCGCGTGCAAAGGGCGTGTCTGCAGTCTCCACCGGCTGATGCGAGTGCTGAGCAAGCTCAATAACCTTGAATTCGCCGGTATTGGCCAGCACACCGAAAGTCGCCCTCTTGGTGCCGGAATACCGAAGACTCCATATCGATGCAGACTGCGAGTTATCCACTATGGGCTTGAAGTCCAAGACGGCGCCGCTGCTAACGCTGTCACCGGATGTTCCGCGCTGCTTAACAAAACGTGCGTCCCAGACTGTCACAGTTGGATCACCCGCCGAGCCCGCGGACAGAAAATAGTTCTCGTCTAGCGGATCTATAGCTATGTTGTGCACCTGGCGCGTCTGAAACTGTGCGATGCCCGCTGTGCTAGAGTCTGTAGAGTATGAGCCAAATCGGCGGCCACTGTTGCCAATGCAGACCCACCTCTGAGATCGTAGATGCGCACGTATTGCCTCGATACACCTGCCACGAGCATTTCAGGCTGTCGGTCAAAGAACTTGATACTCGAGATGGCCTCTGAGCTTGCTAGTTTCTTGTACGGCTCATCCCTGGCTGTGACGCGTGAATCATTCATATCGTAGATGTTGAGACAGACATCATTGCGAACTCGGTCCAGACCGGCAGCCAGCAGGTTCTTGGAGCTGAAGGCAATGGAGTTGCATTTTCTTTGATGCCGGATGGAGAAAGAGTGAATGTAGTCGCTATCAGGCTTGTCTGGATCAAGTGAAATAACTGTAGCCTCTCCAGAGGCTGATCCTATCGCGACAATAGCCGGGTCTTTCTTGGACCAGTCGAAGGCCGTGTAGTTTGGCAGCTTATCGCGGATACATATTTGTTTGTAGTTGACCTTGCTCTTACTGAACTCGTCAACCTGGCACAGACGCAGCCGATTTCCCGCCACGTCGATGATTATAAAGCGGGGATCGGCTCGTGTGGAGTGCGTTGACCATCTGATGGCTGCTTCCATTTTACTAGTCAAGGACCGCTGTCCCGACAGTATAGAATTAGGGATTTCTTCAACGAACGGAGGGTATCATAGGACAGTAGTGGGATCATAAGCCAGTAGTGAGTGGATTGAAGCGGTTCGGAGCGAGCGACTTCATAGACATGTTGTCTGATCAGCGCCGGCAAGTGGTCTGCAGGATGGATGAACAGACTAGGGTGAACGCACGACGCGTGACGACCTTGGCGCGCAGCGGGCGGTCAAGCAGCCTTGGCTAATTCTGCCGCCCCACTAAAACTTCCCTCTGCGCAATCCCAAAACTTTCCTAGCCACTACACCATCTGTTCCTGCAGCCTGCCACAATGTCGCAAAAGCGCAAACACGCCGAAGCCTCCGAAGCCTCGTCTTCTGCGCGCAAGCCGTTCAAAAAACACCGCACTTCCAAACCAGGACCAGGTCACCAAAAGCCAAAGAAGCGACCACACGTGTCGAACGACATTGACAAGAGCACCAGCACCCATGCGCTGAAGAGCCGGATACGAGATTTGAAGCGACTCCTGGCACATGTCGACAATGTCGGCGACCACAAGATGTCAGCAAGCAATCGGGTAGAGAGGGAGCGGGAGCTGGAGGCGTGTGAGCATGAATTGAGGGAGAAGCTTGAGAGCAGCAGGGAAGCCGAGTACAGGCGCAAAATCATTGGAAAGTACCACAAGGTGCGCTTTTTTGGTATGTATTTCTCGCGACAAGAGTTGTGTGTAAATAAGATGGCCATTGCTAATGCGCGTAGACCGTCAAAAAGGCTCCCGGATACTCAAGAAGCTGAAAAAGGAGCTCGAGGCAGAAGACGACGACGAGGAGAAGAAACAGGAGCTTGCGCGCAAAGTGCACAATGCTGAGGTTGATGTCAACTACGCGATATACTATCCGCTTATGAAACCATACGCCTCTCTGTACCCAAAATCGAAAAAGGAAAAAGAGGCAGAGTCGGACGACAGTGCAGATGGCGATGCTGGTGAAAAGTCAACCCGCGAAGTCGACGGACCCAAGGGCGATCTCGCCATGTGGAAGACGGTTGAGCAAGCCATGGCAGAGGGCACGCTAGATGCGCTGAGGAATAGCAAAGAGGGCATGCCAGTATTGGTGCCTGTCAAAGAGAAGGAGAAGAAGACGAAGCAGTCAGAACAGACGGTCAAGAGCAAAGAGAAGAAGATGCAAGAGAAACTTGCCGCAGCCAAGAATCGCCGCGAGAGGAGAGCTCTGGGTGTCCAGGCTCAAGAAGAAGCAGAGGAAAGCGACGGTGGTTTCTTCGAGTAGCAGTTTCCCCCACTCACCAGACCATGCTGTATCGCATTATACCCGACGAAAGAAAAAATAACAGAAAATAAATCGTCCATACGAATTATCCTGAGAACATATCCTCCCAATGGATACTAGTATTACTACTACTGCGCCCTTTTCTTGTCTCCCCCTCCACGCACCTTGACCGGATGCGCCTCGGTGTTGTAAACCCAACCATTCTTGCCGCCCTTGCCCGCAACCTGCCACTCTGCATCGCCCGCGTGAATCAAATACGAGTATTTCAGCACCTCTGCAAACCAGAAGCTCTCCTGGAAATTCTGGAACCCGCCGCCGCCAACGACATTGACGTTGTTGATGGAGCTGTATCCGCTGCCGACGCGCGTCGTCTCGTTGATGGCGACAAAGGCGTCCCACGCCCACTCCTGGTACTTGGGGTCGGCGGTGGCGCGGTACGCGTAGTAGTACGACTCGATGACCTCGGGCCGCAGCTGGTAACCAGAGTCTTGGATCCAGAAGCCCGAGGTGTTGAAGAAGGCCGACTGGTTGGCCGGGAGGGTAGTCAGGTTCCAGGAGAAGATTTCTGGGCCGATGCCCGTGGCGGTCTCGATGTAGGTATCGTGGCATCCGTTTACGAGGTCGAGGCCGAAATCAACGTATTCCTGCTTGTCGAGGACCAGGCCGCCGAGGATGAAGTTGCCGCCGTCGAAACACGCGAGGTGCTGCGATACGTTGCGAATGTGGGTGCCGGAGTATGCCGCGAGGAAGGTCAAGTCTGGGCGGGACGCCGGGTGCGAAGCCAGGTACTTGATACTGCTGTCCACGGCGGTGATCCAGCGGTCCCTGAGCTCCGTATATTTTTCGTCGTAGACGTACATTTTGATTAGGTACTCGTAAAAGGAGTCTGCGCCGCCGACCCAGCCGCCGCTGGCGTCGAGGAACTCGCCCGTCGTCACGTTGATCCTGGTTCCAAGGAGGCCTGGGAACGGCTCTGATGATGGGGGCGATGGCTTCAGCAGGTATTCTTCTGCTTTTGCGACCAGATCTGCATACGTCTGGTTTCCGGAGAGGTCGGCTAGACGTGTCCACTCGAGAATCAGTGTGCCGACGGTGGCGAGCCCGTTTGGCGTGCCACTGTTACTGCGGTCGCTCAGCACGAGAATGTTCCAGGGTATGCCGGTTGGAGTCTCAAAGGCAAATGAGAGGTTGTTGGCGAGGTGGATGGATTGCGTCAGTAGGGCTTCTACTTTCGCCTCGGAATCGGCAAGATGCGCCAGTGGTCCGCGGAGAAGATCGTATCCAGAGAGCATGCCGCCTAGATAGCGGATTGTGGTTTCAAATAGCGAAACGGCATCGTTTGTGACACCCCAGTTAATGGTAGGAATGTGGTCCAAGATCTGATTGACTGTTTCTTTCTCGCCCATGATGAGCGCTGTGCTGAGTGCATCTACAGCCGAGGCTCCCCACCCGTTGCTGGACATGCATTAGTTTGGTTTCTTTTGTCTTGATGGAAAGTATGGCACTTACCGAGAGTTGCTACCAGTGTTGTCGACAGGAAGCAACTCGTCCATGGGAAATGCATATTTGTAGTATCCATCCCAACTCACTCTGAACGCATCCACCACAGCTTGGGCTCTTTCATTTTCCGTTGACGGAGTAGTATAATGCTTGTGAGTCCCAGGCTGTCTGACCAATATATCTGCTGGTGTGTTTGATGGCAGGGCTGACGCTACAGCAGCCGTGAGAGCAAAGAGGCTAAATCGCGTCATAGCGGCGCGTGGTTGACGCGGTCGGGAGTTGCACGGTTAGTATGAGGAAGTAGGACCAATAATATAGTCCTTTTGCCTCGTCTCCGGTAGCGATTGTCTCCAGGCTTTTGTGAGAGCAAAAAGGGGGTGAGCGAAGGTAAGAAACGAAAAGAGGCCGAGCGTGATGAGATACTTGGTGGGTAGAAGTATGTATATATTAGCATTCAAGCTATTATGAGAAATTGCGAAAGTCCGAGTAGATCGTCATCAAAGAAACTGGGACCCTATTACGACCATGAGTGCAGAAAAACACTGGGGTACCAATAATCTGCCGTAGTCACCTACCTCCAAATAGGAAGGTAAGCTTATGGATATGCCTCAGGTGTTATACATGGCCGGCGGTCCGTCTCGTGCTAGCAGCGCATGACCAAGGGTTTCCCATCGCGGCGACAAGGGAATACAGAGGTCATCACGCCGCATAACAGGCGGTCTCTGTGCATGGATCACCGCCGTACATATGGCTGTCGATCTGTTGAGCTCCCACGCCCAGCCAGTCATTCAGCCTTAGCGTCTTGGAAGCAAAGCAGGCTGCTGGGATTACGTCAGTCGGAGACAAAGAGAGAGAGAGTGTGTGTATATGTGTGTATTGATTTGCTAGGGGGGACAGCATAAGCAGAACAGACGGGAGATACGTGCGGCCGATGCACCATGCGTGATGTGCGTGACTAGAGGGAAGCGGAAGTGCGGCCATTCAAGTAAGCGTCGTGCCTGGATAGCGGGGTCGGATGGCCGGATCTGCCGCACCGAGTCTGTGCACTGATCTGGTGGCACCGTTCCCGCGCGTCCTATTCCCAAATCTGCTGCGTGTGACAGCGAAGGACACCGGCTATGTTATTTGCTCTATGCTGGTCGCTACATGAAGACACTACTGCCAAACTAGATGCGTGTTGGCAATCAAGCCGGCTCGGCCCAATCAACCTGCTCTGTGATCGGAGCCCCTCCGCTTGCCGAGTAACTGATTTTGAGTCGAAGCTTGAGCCTTGCTGGCGGCGGCTGCAGTGCGTCAGTGTGTGCATATCATCAAATTATGGGCATGACTTACGCCATTAACGGCCGTGACCCGCATTTGCTGGGTCGCGTCTTGACCTCCCTCCAACTCGCTTGTGCTGATGGGTTGCAGTTGCAGCTTTTGACTCTTTGGTACGGCAGCCTGTAAGTTGACGCCAGAGAGCTGGCCGAGGCTTCCGTTGTTTCGGAACCGTGCAAGAACGTGCACTGCGTTGGCGTCTCGCTTGAGCTGGAACGTAATCTGAAGATCGTTTTTGTTGTATGCTGGGTGCGCAGGCGGGCCAGATGCCGCAGGAGGTGCCGTGTTTTGTGGAGCCGGCGACGGCGCACCACCAAGACCGCCAAGTAAGTCTGACGATGCTGCTTGCGGGGGTGCTCGGGCTTGGGCGGGGGCTGGGGAAGTGCTCGGACCCGAGTTGAAGAGATCCATAATATTAGCAACATTCGATTGTGGAGCTGGAGAAGACGTTTGCGGGGGGGACGAGGCCCCGCCCATGATATCTGCGAGCAGGTCCTGGCTTTGTGGTGTCCCGTTCGAGGCACCGTTCGCGTCAGTCGATGGGCCGTCACCCATGAGATCCAGCAGGAGGTCTTCTGTTGCTGCCTGTGCAGGCTTCTTCTTCAAAATCTTTGACTGTCGCTTCTTGGTGGCTTCTCCCAGTACGCGCGACTCCTCCCGAATCTCTGGCGGAGGCATTTTCTCCAAAACACCTCTCCGGATTTGATCGTGACCAAAGAGGTTGCCATACTCGACCGCACGTTGCTGTATTTCCACATCCAGGTTGGTCGAGTATCTTTGTAGTAATCGCCGTAAGCGCTCGATTTGTGCAGCGTCGTTTAACCGTGTCGTCAGTTTCATGGATGCTGTGACAATGTACTGTTGAACACCCAGACCAGCGTAGCTACTACCCAGTATGGTTTCAAAGAGATCGACAATGTCGCTTTCCTTGACTTCTTTGGCAACATCGTCTTCCTCGTACTGGCCACCGCGTAGTAGCGCATCGCCATATTCTCCAATCACCCATGAACCGGCCAAAGTAAGACCCTCTTGTGTGATGTCTTCCTTGAGCGCAGCATAGAGCTTCTGCACGGAGTATGTCTGGAGATCGGGCGTGGTAGCGATGAGGCGGACAAACGATGACAATATTTGCTCTTTGACATAGTTGCCAGCCTACAGCTTACGTTAGCCAAGGACAGATGGTCGCATTTTCGCTTACTTACCAGCTTCAAGACGCGCAGCATCGTATCGACATGCCACCTCTTGTTTGGAGCGAAGCGATCAGCCGCGATACCAATCTGCGACGTCATGACAGGCTTGAACTCATTGTCTGCAACCTCCAGGAATGCCAGCAGCTCTCGTATCAGTACCCGCACATTGCTTTCGTTGATCAGCGTAAAACTGAGGTCAAGGGCTCTCCGCCGAATACTGATATCAGGGTCTCGGAGACAGTCAAGGATCGTGTTCCGATGTCGCTGCACAGCATTGGGTTCGACCGCGACTACTTTGTTCAGAGTGTTGAGAGCGACGTATCTGATGTTGTTGTCCCTGTTTGACAAGAATTTTCCGAGGATGTTTACACCAAGCACGCGAAGACCAGAGTCAGCCTCGATATCGAGAATCGTCAGCACCGCTTCGTAGAGAATCGAGTTGCCAACGTTCTTGGAAGAGTCGGTGTTGGTGGCGACCTGGGCGAGGATGTCGTTGATTTGCTCGCTAACCTGAGCATCGCCGCGGGCTAGGACACGCAGAAGTTGTAGCAGCTTGCACTGTAGGAAGGGATCGGTAATGCCTGTGACATCATGCTCCGGAGCATAGCCGGACGATGACAATCCCTTGAGTATCTTGACCAGGCTGGGCACAGCCGGCCGGAAGATATCTCGCACGCCATTCTCGTCATCTTCATCCTCGTCTGCCTCGCAGAGGTTTCCTACCAGTGTGACACCACAAAGCAGGACTCCGTGGTTCCGATCTTGCAAGAGCAACTTGGCCTTTTCCAGGAAATGCTCCTGTAGATCGGGCACCTTGCGACATATCCTCATGGCGCAGATTGCGGCTTTGCGACGTATGTACGGGTTCGCGCTTGATATTATCGTCTCGACTTCGGGGAAGAGGTCACGAGCCATCTCGACAGAGGCAATGTTTCCGAGCGTACATAGGGCGAGGCCGACAATATACTGGTTGGGGTGGTTCAGGTCGCTGCAATTGGATCAGCATGCGCATCATGGCTTTGGGCGGCATCGAGTGCCTACTTCTTCAGCGAGTTGGTCACCAGCGTCAGGACCTCCTGGTTCTCGTCGAGGAGCAGCATGGTACCCAGGTAGCCCAGGCGCTTGTCGGCAAAGCGGGGAGAGGCCAGCAGCTTCAGGCACTCAATCTGGCCAAAGTGTGTCCTCTCGCCCAGTGTGAAGAGATACAGCAGCTTTGCGACATTGTTTCGCCGCACGTTGGAGTCGTGGCTCTCCTCCCTGAAGCTGGCGCGGATGGCGGCACTCTCCTTCTGTACGACGGCACGCTCGTCGGCAATCGTCTTTGCAGCGCGTACATTGCGGATAAACTGCTTCACTGCGATTCTTAGCATGTGTCCATAGCTGCGGGCGATGCGATGCTTGGCGTACAGGAAGCCATTGCAGTGGCCTCTTGGACCCCACCCGAGCAGCGTTTGGGGGGCGGATTGGGAGGCGGCGGCGGCGAATCGAGGGGATGTCGTGGGGTCGGCGGTATCAATCGGACAGGGGGCGACTCGACGTCTTGGTTTGGGGTGGGTTGTCGACACGACGTTTGGGGATGCCTCCAGCTGGCCGGGCCGTTATTTGTTCCAGACGTCGGACGCACCGCGCACCGACAAGTGCCAGTGCCAGTACTGCATACAGACGCCACGCTACTACTACTGCTACTACTACTACTTGCTACTGCCTGCTGAGATGGCCACGCCCTGCAATGCCTGGCATCTATCCAGCACACACACACACACACACATGTTCGCACGCACTCGTGCTCTTCGTAGCCCCAGGGCGCTTCCACTACGCCGTACACACATACGTATACTGTCAGCAGCGGATGCTGGTCGGGCGAGTCAGGCGCCCAAGACAGTGCCCGCCCAGCCAATGCTCGCCGAGGCTTATTCCACGCCGCCGTCGAGTCCTCGCTCCCCTGGATCATGGACTTGGACAGCGCATGCCAGATCAGATCAGCGTGTCTTGGCCTGCGACAGAGCGGGAGGGCGAGGCTGCAGGGCACCGATGAGGGCAGTCCTTGGCAGAAGCCCTTGATTCCTGGTGCTCCGCCCGCAGTGGCAAGCGCGTCTGACCTGTGATGTAACCGGCCTTGACGGCTAACGCATGCTAGAGCTCCCTCTCGACGAGCACTATGCCCGCGCACAAGTGCAAGCAGCGCCCTGCCGCAGACCCCACGTGGTGATTCACTTTGCAATCCCTGCTTCCATGATATTGCACGGCCGCCCGGAAGCCTGGCCCAGCTGTCCACTACCACATAGGACCGAGAACCAGTGGCCGTGTGGGCTTGCGGATCATACTCTGGCCTGACCACGTTTCAATCCTCCTTTACAATACATCCTCCACATCCGCAGCATGCGCTTTCTCTCCTCCTCACAAGATGGCTGAATCCACCTCTGTTGACGTGCTCCACCACAACGGGGACGCCGACTACCATTCCCCGCGACCGCGCAAACCCACCAGGATCGACCTCCTCAAGCCAGCGCTGAGCGAAGAGTCCATCCGCAAACAGGGCGGCTTCAAGGAGCCTGCGTCTGCTCTCTCGAGGTATGGCCAAGGTGCTTTTTGCGCGACAGCCAACTGACCCCTTAGCAGTGGTAGATCGACCCCTATACCCCCCGATGCCCCGCCCTCCGTCCACGCCTCGTCCTCTGCGCGACGGCTGATACGCGCCCAGCACAAGCAGCGCATCTTCCCTACCGTCGACTACCAGAATCGCGTCTCGCACTTTGACCCGAATAGCGACTATCATGACTTTCGCGGCTTCTTCGTCCTGTTCTGGATCGGGCTTGCCATTATGGTTCTCACCACCATGCTCCGGAATCTGACGGAGACTGGACACCCCTTTCAGATTCGGCAAATGGTGCTTTTCCGGGAGAAGGTGGTTGAGCTCGGCCTGGTGGATTGTGTCATGGTGTGCAGTACGATCCCGTCGCTGCCCCTCCAAAGGTTGTTCCTGCAGGACAAATTGCTGCGCTGGAACACGTACGGCATGGCCATACAAAGTCTGTACCAGGCAATTTGGCTTGCTTTCTGGACTACGTATGCTGCCCCTGCTCTGGCTGGGTTGTGTAGACTAACGCGCATCAAGATACCCCTTTATCCGGAATTGGAGCTGGACGGCCCAGGTCTTCTTCACGCTGCATTTGCTTGTGATATTTATGAAGATGCACTCATACGCGTACGATACCTACGGAACGGCCGGCTGAGGCGCGCACTGACTTTGAAAAGGTTCTACAACGGTCATCTTAGCGAGACCCTGCGGCGTTTGAACGATCTCGACACGCCTGACAAAGCCAGCAAGAGGGCCGCTGTCCGATACCCGAGCTCGCGCACCCATCTGCACGATGTCCCGCAGTCACCGTCTCAAGACGAGCCGGCGCCAAACGACGCTAATGCAGAATATGTCGGCCATCTGAGAGAGGAGCTGGCGTTGGAGCTGGCGTCGCCGCTTGGCAACGTTTCTTATCCCAACAACCTCACCTTTTACAACTATGTCGACTTTATCTTGTGTCCGACGCTGTGCTACGAGATTGAGTATCCTCGCAACCCCAGCATCCGGTGGCTCGAGGTGTTTTACAAGACGCTGGCGGTGTTTGGGTGCATCTTCCTGATGATCATCACTGCCGAGGAGTTTATCCTTCCAGTGCTCGACGTATCGGCCTTGCGCCTGGTCAACGCTGACAATGCCACCGACTTTGCATTGATCATGGTCGAGACAATTGGCCGTCTGCTCTTCCCCTTCATGATCACCTTCCTGCTGGTCTTCCTGGTCATCTTCGAGTACGTGCTGGGTGCGTTTGCAGAGATTACGTGTAAGTTGTCACGGCCGTGCAGAATGCACCCTTACTCATAACGTCTAGGCTTCGCGGACCGCCAATTCTATGCCGACTGGTGGAACAGCTGCGACTGGCTTGAGTTCAGCCGTGAATGGAACATACCCGTGCATTCGTGGCTTCGGCGCCATGTGTACAGTGCCTCCAAGAATCACATGTCGCGGCCGCTGGCTACGCTGATCACGTTTGTCATCTCGGCACTGGCACACGAGCTGGTCATGGGCTGCATCACGAGAAAGTTCAGGGGCTACGGCTTTGTTGCCATGATGCTGCAGATGCCCATTGTGATGCTGCAGCGGAGCAAATGGGTGCGGGGCCGCACGCTGCTGAACAACGTTCTATTCTGGTGCAGCATGATCCTGGGGCTCAGTATGGTAAGCTGACTCATCTTGGGCGCGTACTGGCAATTGCTGACTCGAGACAGATGTGTGCCTTGTATGTGCTCGTGTAGTGGAGGGGAGGCGTGTGTGTGTTGTATAGACGGTATAGAGGGCTTGGTTGGTTGCTGCATGGGCGGGCGTAGACTAGACTTGCGAATACCCCTTCTTTTGTCACGTTGCTGCGTTCGTCTTGAACATGGCGCTGCTCCTACTCGCCTGCGTGCTCGGTTTCGGCAGCACTGGGGCCCGGTGTTTCCGCCGTGCAATCATTTCGCAAGCTTCTCCTGAGCCGCTCTAGATGTAGGGTGACGTAGCACGACTCGGCCGAAAGTTGTGCCCGTCCGGACGAGGCCCGTGCGCGCCGGCAGAGCGGGCGGGCGACCCTGACCCCGCCGCCGTGTTGGAGGTTAGAGTCGTGGTCGCGCGTCGCGAAGGAAGTCCCGGCAGCGCAGGGATGGCGCCGAGCCACCGTCGAATCAACACCGCCTGCATTGCGAGCTTCTGGCAAGCTTCTGGCAATGCCACCAGCTCCCTCCACAGCCCTCGACTTTCCGCGCTTGGCTCCTCCGTATCGACGCCGAGGCGACGGCGGACTGTTGCCCTTTAGCACTGCGTCGTAGTGATCTCATTGCCCGTCACCAGACCCGGCTAGTCTGCTCCACGGCTACGTCGGACCATCCGTGTACATCACGGCATATAGCCACGCCGCAGCCACTGCGCCTCTGGCCAGAGTATATTGTGGCGGCACTGCGTCGCCCGCTTCGTTTCTCACCCACCCCCGCAGCTACCCACCCATTTCCGTCTCCTCACTGTCGACGTCATGGCCGCGCTGCACGACGCGCTGGCGTGCCTCAGGCCCAAGGACTTTGACGAGATCCCTACCGACAACCTCCACGACTTCCTGCCCTCCATCCTGGCAAAAGCTGAGCTGATTGCCAATTCCGTGCCTCCGCCTCCCAATGGCGCCCCCTACGAGTCGGCAGAGCGCTCGCGAACAGAGCCACAGCCTGCGACGAGCGCCAAGGACCTCACCGTGTCCCAGGTCCGCCGTCCGCCGCCCGCCGCCGAGCACGAGGAGCTGCAAAAGGCATGGGGCAAGCCTCTAAAGATGGGCAGCGCCGATGCTGCCACGGGAATGAGCGTCTTCAAAATGGCGGGCAACGACCGGCACGGAGCGTGGTTCTCGCGGACCAGCGTACATGAAGGCCTGGGCTTCGCCAAGTGGAAGCGGGCCATGCAGAGGGAATTTGAAGAGAGCCTGCAGGTCCAGGGCGGTCCAGGCGAGGGCAATGTGCGAGGTATCGGAGGAGACCAGAGGCTCGAGGACATGACTGTGGAGGGCGTGGGACAGCTGCAAGGTATGTAGTATGCCAGATATTCCCGAGTGGACAAGAGCTGATATTATCGCAGTATACCAGCTTTCCGCTCAGTTCCCAGGTCCAACCTCGCCGCGAGAGTTCATCACCCTCCTCATCACCTCGGATACTTGTCTTAGCGACGCTTCGAAAATCGGCGACTCAATCCCTCGTCACTTTACGGTCGTCTCCATACCCACCACCCACCCGGATGCGCCGCCGCGAAGTAACATGGTGCGGGGCTACTACGAGTCGGTCGAGATGATTCGAGAGATACCACTCGCGGGCGGCGACGCAGAAACCAATCCTGTTGAGTGGATAATGATCACACGCAGTGATCCTGGAGGCGGCATACCTCGCTTCATGGTGGACCGAAACGTGCCCAGCAGCATCGTACAGGACGCCATCAAGTTCCTCGATTGGGCCTGTGCAAAGGACGACGACGAATTAGAAACGGACGCTGACACACGCGATCCCCGGCGGAGTATGTCCATGGCAGATACAAACGGCAATTCGGCGGGAGTCGGAACCAGCATAGCGGACAGGCCCCCGCATCATCAAGTCATGTCATACCAGAGCAGTCAGCTCGACTTGCAGCGCACCGAATCTGTTAGCTCCACAAGTACCTCATCCGCACAGTCATTCGCCTCGGCCGAACAATTCACCACTGCCCGCGACGGCATTCCAGTTGACACCTCTATCCCAACGCCATCGACATCTTCTCAGCACTCCTTGGCGACAGCAGACGAAAGTCGTCACGAAAAAGGCCTGCACAAGATTGAGGAGAAAAAGGACCAGCTCAAGGCAAAGCTGGAAACGGCCCGAGAAAAGCTGGACGGTGAACTGCAGGTTGAGAGTGCAAAGACGGAAAAGGAGATCCAAAAGGCAAATGAAAAACACGAAAGAGAAAGGAGAAAGCAGGAAGAAAAGTATCGGAAAGAGCTCCGGAAGCTCGAGGAACGCCGGGAAAAGGAAACACGCAAACTGCTTGCGCGCCAACAAAAAGAAGCAGACAAGAAGCAGCTCAGCAGGGTCCAGCGGGAGCGGAATGAATACAAGCAGCGAATGGAACTGCTGGAGCAGGAGAACAAGCTGCTTAAGAAGCAAATTGGCGAATTACAACACGAGAATACGGTAATCGTTTCCCGGTTAGGAAGATCAGAGGAGGGCGTCAAGTTCCTCAAGGCGATCAAGGAGCAGGAAGACAACCCTAGAACGAGAGCCAACTCGAGGAGTTCAGACCGGAGCGGGAAGAGTGTAAAGAGCGGAAGGAGAAGCAAAAATTCGAGTGACTCGACCAGTACGGGCACGCTAGCAAGGGCAGGAACCACCCATTTTTAATCTTTCTTTACCGTATCCTCATTTCCTTTTTTTTTCTTAGCGTCGGTGTTTATTTCTTGTTTTCCTCGGGGGCAAGTCTTCTTATTATCTGGCACACCACTGTACATACTGCGTCTCCGCCAATTAGATTCCTTTGGGCTGCATCGAGACGGCGCACGGAGTAACCGGGGGATGTCGGGAGGGGGTTTGTTCGGTACATGACGAAAAACACAATCAGACCAATTAAAAATAATGTATGAATGAGAACCACCAAAAGACTGATATGAAATCGTGGAATCGTAGCATGCGCAATTCAGTTGTTTGGGGGAGGGTTGGCGAACGCTCTCGCGTCCGTAGTGCGACGAATATGCAGCTGGCTGACTACAAAGTGCAACTTTTCCTCTAGCTGCTAGTAACACTTACCCCACCAAGGACCACAAGCCTAACTCCTGACCTTTACCCCTCGGTCTCCGACGCTACGTACAACACCTCCGAAGCAAAAAAAAGGGTCCTCCAACTAACCCGCTCGTATAAGCACGGGAGACAGCAGCATTGACGTCTTGCTGCGTGTTCTCAGCAACTCCATTGTCCTGGTCTAACTAGACGCCCCAAAGTACGGTGGTCCGATCACCGGAGGTTTGCGTGGCCTTGCCTTACTTTAGGTCTTACTTCCATTGCTCACTCGACCTTTTGCTTTTTTTTCCAAGGGGAGAAGGCGCGCTCACCGCAAGTGTTACTTTTTTTGGGAGAGAGAGAGAGATTCTTCTATCCTTTGGAGGGAGAAAAAAAACTGGGGGGAGGGTTTTTCTTTTACTTTCTTCGCTAGCTTCATCTTCATCTTCATCTTTCTTCGTAACGACGCGGTGCAGTACGGTGCGGTGCGCATTGGTGCTGAGAATACCGACGAACGAACGGGGTTTTGCAAGCGGAAAAGGAGGCGCTGAGTTATTTGGGTTTTGGTGAGAATTCGGGCTGTCTGCACGGCATACGACTTCGGATTCGGGATTCCAGGTGTAATTGAGGTCAGGAGCGGTACGGTACGCCAGCTGTTCGGCAAAGGCAACACGTGAAGAGACAGGAGATTGGAATTGCAAGAGAGTGTGTTTGGAAAACTCGATATACAAAATGACGAGCACAAGCGGAGCACAGGGCGTCAAGCCTACTATCCTCACCTTCCATGGCTCGGGTAGTAATGCCATGGTGCATCAGGTGCAGCTGGCGAGATTGACGCGAGTTCTGGGCCCAGACTTTAACCTTGAGAGTCTTGAAGGTACTTATGTTTTTCTTTTATTGTTTACACTTATATCACTGCAATTGCTCATTCGTTGATTCAATCTCTCGGCACAACTCGAAACTAACACTCGCAGCACCCTTCCCCTCGCAAGCCGGCCCAGGCGTCCTCCCCTTCTTCGACGGCTGCGGCCCCTTCAAACGCTGGATCAAAGTCACCGCCACCGTCACAGAAATGAAGAACGGGTCGTCCACCAACGCGCTGCCCACCGAAGTCGAAGACCTCGTTCGCACCGCCGTCAAGCGCATCCAGGCGTCAGGCGGCAGAGTCGCTGGCCTAATTGGCTTTTCCCAGGGCACCCGCGTCGTGGCCGGGCTCCTCAAGTGCGCTGAAATCATCAAGGTTCTCAAGCAAAAAGACGAAGCCGCACTCGCAGGCAAAGACCTCGACTGGTGCAACTGGGGCTTTGCCATTAGCGTCTGTGGAAGCTATCCGCCGCCACTACTCGCTCCATCCGTCACAGCAGTGCTGGCAGCTTCCTCGCTGTCAGAGACGGAGCAGAAGGAGCTAATTGGCAGCAAGATTACCACGCCCGTGTTCCATGTGCAAGGTGAGCAGGATGAGTGGAAGTGGGCGAGCGAGTTGCTGATTGAAAACTGCTATGATGTGCAGGAGGGCAAGAGTGTCGTCAAAGAGTGGACTATGGGTCATCATTATCCCGTGCAGGTCGAGGAGAGCGAGGAAATTGGCCAGTGGGCGAGTCAGACGACCAAGGCTGTCGAGGCATAAGATTGTGTTGAGAGAGGGGGAGAAGGGTTGGTATAGAGTTGCGGTTATAGATGTATTAGATTGGTGCAAGGGTAGAATATATTCAAACTGTTTTCTTTGTGTGTGTGTGTGTGTTTTCGATTTCTGGAGTTTTCGTTGCCTTGATTATTACTTCTGCCCGGGCAGCATGCCGGATAAAGATACGGATAACCGACTTTCCCATTGTTCGGATCTTGGCGTTTAGGTTGTGAATATTCTATAGTAGACATTATTTGTGCCATTTCAATTGAGTGATTCTAACATGCTGACGCAGTGCATGTCATAATGCTTTGGGATATGCGATGAACGATAACGGGGGGGGGGGGAGATGGTATGCTATGTACCCTGTACACAACACGTGAGCAGCCGTCTACACGCGACACTGGCTAACAATATATGAAGGATATGAGAGGAACAAAATGTCTTGTTCTCAGAAAATTCAATCAGACAGATTAGCTACATCTTCTGGTAGCATCATCCCCCCGAATTCCAAATATCCAATCCAATGCGTCGCACAAACGCTCTCTTACAGTAAACCCATCATTCTGCTTCCCTCCCTCCCATCCCCCATCCACATGCCCACACCTTCACCTCAAAACGAACGAACCCATCACCAGGGCCCCAGAAGTACCCGCGACGTCAAGCGCAGTGTCAAATCCCCATCCCAAACCCCATCATTTAAAAGAAGAAGAAGAAGAAGAAGATGAAAAAAAAATCTGTATCCAATTCCTCTCACGCCTAGATACCCACATGATGTGGTCCCGATGCGGTGTTTCTTCGGGCTTTTACACGGTCGGCACGTGGGCTAGTTACTTACTTACCTATCAGCAGCAAGAAACCAGGTTTAAAAAAAAGAGGATAAGATACACCGATATTCGTCCGCTGGAGAGGCAAATCACTCAGAGCATCTTCTGCATGTACATGACTGACAAACAAGACATGGGCCCAGAACTTCAATGCACACATAGTAGGTGTGCATGCACATTCAAAGTTCCAAGCGCGGTCAAATGCAGCAAATCCATGCTAGCCTGGGCTATGCGCAAGGCGTCCAACCAAAAAAAAGAGCCTAGCCCCCTTTTAGCAAGCATTTTGGCAGCAGAAATGGCGCTGCTGTTGCTCGGAAGGCGAAGGAGCCGAGATCCGTGATCCGAGATCCGATGGGTGGTGAGATCGTCGACGATGTATGTATGCATGCATGCATGGATGGGTGGATGAAGATGCACTGTTACTTACCACGACGACGAAGACCACTACAGTACCCTGGTTCTATGTACCTACGTTGCCCATTATCCACACACATACACACACACACACACATAATTCATAGTCCCATGTAGTCCAAGAAAAGGGCTGCTCTCCACTATATATCAGCCAAGCCGTTAAGAAAAAAGAAGAATATAGAAACCCCCAAAAAATCCTGCATATCTTTTTCATCTCGAACTTGGTACTTTCAGGCCATGAATAATGCTTATTTCCCATGCGAGTGGAATTTTTTTTCATTTTCATCTATTTTGCGCAACAGCGAGTAAAGTAAAGTAAAGTAAAGTAAAGTAAAGTAAAGTAAAGTAAAGTAAAGTAAAGTAAAGTAAAGTAAAGTAAAGTAAAGTAAATGTGAGGTTAATTAGTTAGTTACGTAGACAGGCAGTCGCCAAGCCCCGTGTATCGGGAGCTACAAAGTGCAAGTACACCCTACCGGGGGAAACGGAAGAAAAAAGAAAAAAGAAGGGAAGAACAAAAGCATGGGGGGGTGGCACAATCCCCTCTCTCTCTCTATGTCTGTCTGTATCCGTCTATCTCGCGTAACTATTTTTTTTTCTCTCTCTCTTCCCTTTTTGCGTGCCCACCCGCCCTTCCGCTCCACTCTCCACTTTCCGAAGACCAAAAAAGACGGATACATACAGCCCTATACCGACGTAGTCCCGCGGCCCCGATAATGTATGTATGGCGTGTTTGTGTTTGTGGGCGTATGTGTGATACGGAGGGGAGGGGGGG